ATTGAATGTGTAAATAAATAATTAAATCTATTATAATTAAGGATTTTCAAGTCGACTGTAATTTTTCTCCTCTTCAACTGCTTTCAAAATAGTGGATAAAGTTTTTTGATATAAAAAGGAATCTCTGTAAATAAATTATAACATAAATATACGGGTATGCCTGTTAAACTATATTTGTACTTGTTTTTTGGTTTGCAAATTTCCAAATGATCTAAAGGTACTTCAAAATACTCTCCTACTCCTGGATTTCCCGATTCTGGTTCAACAAGCAAAACGTTGAATTTCATAGCCGTTACTACAATTGGTTTTGTTTCTATAAAGCTAATAATGTCGATTGGATTATGTTCAAGAAATTTTAGGAAATTTTGATGAATGTCGCGAAGTCCAGTATACTCTAGAAAGAAATTAGCGCCATGCTCAATTTATTCAAAACAGTTTTTAACCGACTTTTCAGAGTATTGTTGGTACCTTGTCTCAATTCTTGAACTTCTACCGATGGCCACAAAACATACGAAGTTGGAGTTGTGGCACTTGCTACTTTTGAGCCAGTGTGGGGAGTGCTATAAAATATAATACTTTTTGTTTTTTCAGCAATACTTTTCACTTTTGGGTCATTGCTATTCCATGCTAAAAGAATATACTTTATATTCGACACTAATATATATAACAGTAAACCTGAATAAAACGGCCGCCATTACATAAAGAGTTAAGTAATGCTTAAGTCTTATTATTCACCTTTGCACAATATATTTTTGGCGATTAAACCGCCCATAGAATGAGTTACCCATACTACGGGTCTTTCACCCACGCCAGCTCTCAACAATTTTATCATCATTTCATTACTTCGTTCATCTATTGTTGTTTTGGTCCGTTCCATGGGACAAATAGGTGCCCACATAGACAAGTTAGTATCATAATTAATACCGATTATTCTTAAATGTTTACAGTCTTCTGGCAGCCAATCTTTTGGCCAACATTGAGTATATTCATCATTTGGGCTAGTGTTTACACTAGAAATTCATTGAAACATACCTAACAAGCTATAGTCATACACATTTTTATACCTGGAAATGACAAAAGGACCTTTACCGTGCTCGTTACTTTTGATGGGTAAATCGTAAAGAACAAAATCAAAGTCGTCTTCTAATTCCCTACTATGATTCTGTTTATGTTGTTTAGGAGGATTCATAAGTTTATTCTCATTTTTTGGCGGACATTTGAAGTATACTCCATCATTCGAAATACTCTCTACAGGATCAGACAAAATTTTATCAAGTCTGACATTTTTACGAGACTTAGGTTGTCCTGAGTGAAAAAAAAACGCAGATATATGTACATTAAAATGAGATAAAAACGATAACCACACTATATACATATGTCGAAGGAACGTGGAATTATTATTTACGATCCTTACACTTAAATGCTGGAGGGATTGTGGGAAGGATTAAGAGGAATTCAATCATGCAATGTGGCAATCTGAAATCCATCTTACCTTTATCCCTTTGCTTACCCATCAAACCTAAAGTTTCTTTATTTCCTCTTTGCCGCCAAGTAAAAAACACGCCGCCCAGTAATCCATGAATAAATATAACGTCAACATAAGTCTCTTCCTCACTATCACAAGTGGGATACAAAACATATAGACTACGCGAATAAAGACCAGCAATGTGTTTATCAGTCTCTAAATTTGCTAAAGTTTTTACGGCTGGTAAAGAAAGTCGCAAGTCAATATTTCTGGACCATTCTCCCAAAATACGAATCCACCCTTTGGTGAACAAATAAATGTTAAGCATTAGATTTTACTGGGTGACTTTTACACATACCAATTGTAAACATTTCATCAAGAAATTGAGGAAAGAAGGAAACATGTGATAAGATTTTACAAATCGATATGTTAACATCCACATTATCTGGGTACTGTTTATAAACTTCCATCAATACTTGCAAGCCTTTGTATACAGCAATTTCTTTGGCTTGATCTTCAATAGAAGCATGATGTAGAAGTGATTCGATACATAATGGCAAAATGTTTTCAGAGGATTCTATTATTCGTGTAAGTCCAACATTAGGATATTCATGGTCAGCGAATTTATGATGTTCCTACAACTCCTCTGTATATGTAACATTTCACTGCCTTTTTGTTACATTTAGAACTTACATGATCATTTGAAAATGCAGTCTCAAGAAAATATGCTATACATAAATGATCTGATGAGGAATTTAATTGGTACAGTAATTTTTTTACAGTTTCAATAATATCCTGGTGTGGTAACTTTTGATTTCGCAAGAGAGGTTCTCGAATAATTCTAAGGTCTGTATCACTAATGCGAGCTAAAGAAACAGCAGTTTTAGCATCACACATTTGTGACAATAATTGAAACTGCCATGGTTCTAAATTTTTAAGTTTACTAAGATGGTAAATTGCTATCTTCTTTATTGGCTTAATATTAGTTTTTGACAAAGTAACAAGTTGTTGAGCATAAATAAACTTCATGTAAGTCAACTTTGATTTAGGACCCGCAAGATAGACGTCCTTATACCTTTCAATAAGCTTTTTTAATAAAGGTTCGTCTTGCTTACTATCTGGGTTACTTTTTAGTTCAAGCAAATCAATTACTGATGTATCTAGGGCATTATTTATTATTCGACGTGTCCTATCCACTTCAAAAACCAACCATCCTAACCTATAAACTCAATCTTAAATAATACATGAATTATATGGGACTTACTCTCACCCTGAAGATAACAGAAGGGCTGCTGATATTTTAATAACTCTTTTGTGTTTTTGATAAAAACGCAACATTTATTGTAATTTATTGAATGTGTAAATAGCACTCAAAGAACCAAAATTCACTTTAACAATCTCCATTTGTCCTAGAATTCAGTACCTGAATATTTTTGTACATTTCGCCTTTTCTATTCTTAAATTATCTTGGCGTTACTCCTCACAAATCATATTTTTAAATCATCTATTAGTTATTTACTCACTTCATTTTTTCTTGACAGACATTTCGAAAACTATTGAACCTTATGAATTATCTAAACAATAAATGACAATCATAGATAATATGACAATCATAGACAAATGACAATCATTACAATTTTGACAACACTGGCAATAGATAATTTCTGAAAATTTTCATATATTTGCTTAAAAAGTAATCAGTATCAAAAGCCGATATTCACTTTTCACTAATTAGAGCACATAATCCCAATTCAAACTGTAGATTAACTTTCCTTTTTCGCCGCGCTCACTGTACCGCATCCATTTTATTTAAACCTATCTCTAACTTCTTGCTAGATGCTAATACTGCCATATCATCTGCAAATCTAAGCATACTAATCTTTTATCCCTGTATATCTATCCATGCAGTTGTACTGTCTTTAATGATATTGACCGCGTCTTCGATGTATAGATTAAAAAGTAGCCATGGTAGTGTGCATCCTTGTCTGACTCCCTTCCTAATATTTACTTCTCTACGTTGCAGCCCCAGCTCTATAACTGCCTGTTGCTCTTTATACAAACTAAGTATCACTCTTCTATCTTTGTAGTATCCCTACATTTTTAAGTATATTTAACATCTTCTGCCATTTAACATTGTAAAAAGCTTTTTCTAAATCTACAAATTCCATGTACGCACTCTTTCTTTTTTCTATCGTTTTCTTTATTGTGCCCAGTAAAGCTAGAGTGGCCTCCCGCGTTCCTCAATTTCTTCTAAAACTAAATTGATCTTGATCCCTAATAGTTCTTCCATCCTTTTTCCATCCTCCTCTGTACAAATCTAGTTAAGATTTTTGACGCATGAAGTTAAGCTAATTGATCTAAATGTCTCGCACTTATCCGCGCCTCCTTTTTTAGGTATGGTTACTACCACGTTCCGTTTATAATCCTATAGGACTTTCCCCGTCTCGTAAATATTCTGTCCACCTATCTACCTTTTCCTCGAAATGACCCCTACCTCGTTTCTTATATTATTACTACTGTACCCTAAATCTCTAAAATTCCTTTTAATTATATTATACGCCTCATCGGTTTTACCTACTTCAAACTTTTCTTCTACTTCTTTACACTTCCTATTATTCCACTGTTTCTTAGCTGTTCTACACTTCCTAATTATTTCCCACTTTATAGTCATATCTTTTTTGCCCTTCTTCGTCTGTCCTGTTTTTGTATTTCCACCTTTCTTTTATTATTCCTACAAGCACATTTGTTATCCAGGGTTTCCTACTTTCGTTTCGTTTAAGACCTAATATATCTGTAGCTGCTGTCTTTAGGCACGTGTTAATGCAGTTCCATTCTGTATCTATGTCCCCGTCATTCGTTTCTCCCGCCGCCTTCAGTATTTCGTCTGTCCTTGTACCTAGCCTATCACGCGTTTCGTTACATTTTAGCTTTTCTAAGTCAAGACATCTCCTACCTTCCCTATCTTTCAGGATTTTCAATTTAAGATTATTCTTCATAACTACTAAGTTATGGTCTCTATCTATATTTGCTCCTGAATAACTCCTACAGTCCATCACTTGATTTTTAAATCTTTGCCTAACAAGTACGTAATCTAACTGATATCTCCCTAAATCACTTGGGATCTTCCACGTATAGCGCCTCCTAACGTAATGGTTGAATAAAGTATTCGCGATGGTTAAGTTATGTTTATCGCAAAATTCTATCAGTCTATCTCCCTTATCATTTCTATTACCTAATCTAAAAGAACCTGCTATTGGACCGTCTTTACCTTCACCTATTACTGCGTTGAAGTCTCCTACAACTTTTAGGTTTTCCTGCCCTTTCATTAAACTTAACACGTCTTCTGTATCCGCATAAACCGCTGCTGTCTTCATCACTGTAAGATGATGTAGGCATGTAACCCTGCATTAATACCGTTTTTACCGGCTTCGAGTTTAATTTAACCTTAACTAACCTATCGCTTTTTTGTAAATAACCTACACATTACATTTCCTACCCTCAAATTACCTTCCACCGATCATGTATGTATTCGCTTCGGGCCAACGGACTTCACTAATAGCTACTATATCTAATTCTAATCTTTTCATCTCTACTTTTAAATTTTCCAATTTCCTTACTTGCCTCATTGTCCTAACATTCCACGGTCCGACTAGTGTGAAATATTGCACCTATCCCTATTGCACTAATTGATGATATCCCCCGAGGTAGTCCCCGCCTGGACATCCGAATGGGGGACTAGTTTACGTTCGGAGTGCTTTACCCCAAAGGACGGCATCATTTGAAAGAGATTGTCATTGTAAAATCATACACGCTTATCGCACACCTGCCTCATTTTCACCTGATTCCCGCTATGGACTCATAAAAGCCTGTGTGTGAAAGAGAGATGGTAAGCCACTCCTCAACAGCGGAGTTATTCGTACACTTTATATTTATCATAGATAATATATATACAAAGGGTAATGATATTTATCCTTCAGTTACTTTCTCTAACTATGTTCCCCTTCCAATGTCTTGGATGCGCGCTAGCAAAATCGTAGGTAGGGAGAAAAAAGCTCATTATACTCTCGACTCTTGTTCACTAAACATATTTTTTCATACAGTACCTGCCAAAAATTTTGTTCAATCATAAATAGTAGTGCGAGTCAAAAAAAAGCATTAAAGTCTTTAATATATCTTCAAATATAAATAAACATCTCGTTGATATTTTCAGTAGTAAATGGTACCAATAACAGCACATTTGAGCAATGCAATTGTAGTGGATAAAATGGTCAATTTTTCCGTGCAGTACTGTACGGATTATACGCTCCTCACCNTCCCAGGATATGCGTGTAGTAAAAAATCTTTGAAATAATATTTTATACATTTCCTAAATAGCCTCGGAATTGTATTTATTTACTAGGAATTGTATACAATTGAAAGGTGTACATATGTACTTTTTCAAATGTACAAGATAAAACCGCAGCATAAATTTTTGCGTTACGCTGATTTTCGCATGGGCAACGCGATGTCGCGTGATAACCATGATTATTCTTCAATCTTAGATCAACTGAATTTACAAACTTTACTAAATAGAAGAATGACTTTTGATCTCTCTTTCTTATTTAAAATCATGAACAACCTTTTCGACAGCTGTTTTCTAATATCACAAATTTCATTTAGAGTCGGTACCAGAAATTCAGATCTATTTTACATTCCATACAAGACACCTTCACTCGCTTAACGCGTTTGGGCAATAAAATAGCAATTGATGTTAACTTTTTAATACCACTAACACAGTTAATGGTGAACTTGTTATTTCTGGCAAGCTTTCCATTACGTATAACCCGTACCAACGCCCTAAAGCAATCAATAAGTTCAAAAAACCGTTCAAACACTAAATGAATGAAATTTTAATTCTTGGTTGGCGTATTTTCAAAGAGAGGATTGAGATGAAACCGCTGAAAAGAGCTTCTACTTCATTCTCAATTTTTTACCCGTCAAGTGAGCCCACCGACGTATACTTCATTTACTTTCTCTAGCGATGTGTCCCTTCCAATTACTTACATCCGCGCTGGCAAGATCGTAGGTAGGGAGAAAAAAACTCATTATACTCTCGACTCTTGTTCATACATTTTCATACAGTACCTGCCAAAAGTTTTGTTTAATCATGAATAGTAGGGCGAGTCGAAAACAAGCGTTAAAGCCTGTAATATATCTTCAAATATAAATAAACATCTCGTTGATATTTTCAGTAGTAAATGGTACCAATAACAGCACATTTGAGCAATGCAATTGTATTGGATAAAATGGTCAATTTTTCCGTGCGGTACTGTACAGATTATACGCTCCTCATCGGTTAAGAGTTTGGCCGAGAGTTGTCTCCTTCCTTTTCTGGTCTAATGCTGTTCTTTTCTACTTTGCGCTGGTCAAACTGAAGGTCACATCGCTTCAGAAAGTAAACGAAGTATAACATAGCGAGCGCGTTCCAGTATCTGTACTCTAGTTCAAAGAGCGCCTGATACTTCCTCCTTTTGTCAGTTTCCTACTTCCTGTGTACGTATATCGCTGGTTTCGGTCCTTGATAATGCCTCACTTTTTCAAACGATATTTAATATACCTCATAAATTTCGCCTGGACTACCTCGAGTCTATCAATTTGGTGCTTATATACAGGGTGTTTCCGAATTAAGAAGGAAGCTTTGTAGGGTGTTAACTAGACTCAATAGGGGATCGCATAGTGAGTACAGCACAGTGATTAAGAGATTTAAAAAAATGTAAAAAAAACAAGTTACAATCTGAAGCCGATCCNTTCCTTCTCTGGAAGGACGTTTATCATTCCCCACGTCTCCTTTTCCCCCATGAACCTGATGCAGTCTTGTTTGTTCCTGTCAAATCCGCTGTTAACTAGTTAAGAGCAGTTTGTTCGTTATTGTGAGAACAAAAGTGTAGCTAGGAGGAGCTGGAAAAGCCCAAACCTACCACGATCACGTTGAGACGTGTTTGATCAGACTTGATCAGTACGCGCCATTTTGCTAAGAACAATACACGTTTTTAATTTGTCAGCAGCAACCATATAAAAATTTTAATCATGTCAAATGAAGAAACATCAGCGGACCGTAACGTAGAAATATGGAAAATAAAAAAACTAATCAAAAGCTTGGAACTAGCCAGGGGGTGAGTAGTTATTAATGTTGCCGAATTATTTCCATACGGTTGTGAATTACACAATATATTAAGTGAATGTGTTTAATTTAAGGAACGGCACCAGCATGATTTCACTAATAATACCTCCAAAAGATCAAATTTCGAGAGTCAGCAAGATGTTAGCAGATGAATTTGGTACTGCATCAAATATCAAGTCTCGAGTGAACAGGTTGTCTGTTTTAGGTGCAATTACTTCAGTACAACATCGTTTGAAGTTATATACCAAAGGTAATTTTAAAAGAAACTTTAAAAAATGACCTATTTATTCATATTTAGTTACAGACCTTTTCAATGTTTAAATAACAGTGTAAATCAAGAAATATGATTTATTTATTATTGTTTGCAGTTGTAATTAGAAGTTAGCATTGAAATATGGCAAATATTTATTTTATTTAAAGCCACATGTATAGTAATTGTTTTGCTTTTTATTTATTAAGTCTTCAATTAATCTATATTGGTTACAGTTCCACCAAATGGTCTAGTAATTTACTGCGGTACAATAGTAACAGATGAAGGCAAAGAAAAGAAAGTTAACATAGACTTTGAGCCATTTAAACCGATAAATACCTCCCTGTATTTATGTGACAACAAATTTCACACAGAGGCATTGACAGCCCTTCTGGCTGATGACAATAAATTCGGTTTTATCGTAATGGACGGTAATGGAGCGTTATTTGGCACATTGCAAGGTAATACCCGTGAAGTGCTTCATAAGTTTACTGTAGACCTTCCAAAAAAGCATGGAAGAGGGGGTCAGTCTGCGTTACGTTTTGCGCGATTAAGAATGGAAAAGAGACACAACTATGTAAGAAAAGTTGCCGAGGTTGCAACGCAGCTCTTTATAACCAATGACAAGCCTAACATCGCTGGACTTATACTTGCCGGAAGTGCCGATTTCAAGACTGAACTTAGTCAATCTGATATGTTCGATCCTGTAAGTATCTATATGTCTACTAAATTAATGAAAAATACATTAATAAGCACCTACAAAAGTTTCAAAGAAGTGACAATTATTTAATCCATTGCTCCTTATTATAAGATAATAGGATATATTCCTATGACAAATTTCATGTATGCATGAGTGATTTTAAAAGAGATTCCATTTTTCTTTTAAAATATGTATTATTTTATTGTTAATAGATGATAATAATAATCAAGTGGAAAACATGGTGATGTTTGTTAACAAAACCTTGAATTATATAGGTAAATATACATAAAGGACCAATTATGGCAATTGGATATAACATACGTTCTACTAGTAACATACTTAAAACTTTTAGCAGATAAATTACAGTACATCATATATTAAAATGCCAAGGAAATGGAAATTTACTGTATAACTATTTTCTTTTGCCCATTACAGAGACTTCAAGCTAAAGTAATAAAACTAGTTGATGTATCTTATGGCGGTGAAAATGGCTTCAATCAAGCTATAGAGTTGGCAGCTGAGTCTTTGCAGAATGTAAAGTTTATTCAAGAAAAGAAACTTATCGGCAGGTACTTTGATGAAATCAGCCAGGACACGGGCAAATACTGTTTTGGAGTAGAGGATACTCTTAAAGGACTTGAGCTTGGCGCTGTAGAAACCCTCATCTGCTGGGAAAACCTTGACATACAACGATACGTACTGAAGAATCATACTGTGGGAACAGAAACTGTACTCCATTTAACCCCAGAACAAGAGAAAGATAAGTCTCATTTTACAGATAAAGAGGTAAGATGACAAAATATACTAGTATGATCTTTGAGTTGTTGAATTTATTAAAGTTAAAAGTGAAAATGATAATTGTGCATTAGTTGGGCTCCAGCCCAGTTTTAAAAAGAAGAAGTTTTCAATGATTGGCGTTTTTTCAAGATGCTAAAAAAACATAATTCAGGTTAGGGAAAGCCAAGCAAATTTCCTGAGAAGTATTGTTTTTAGTTGATTTTCTTTTTTTAATCTAGTTCAATGCTTGGCCTATATTTCTCTTAGTTTTTAGTAAGTTAAAATTATGTATTTTTATATTACTTTAATTGTAATGCTAGGTCCATGCACATATTCAATTACCTCCAATGGAAACAAGCACTATGGTTTTCATTTTCTAACTAATGTTCTTGTTCTAACATATATAGACTGTTGCATATCTAGTAAATGAATACACAAACGATTGTAATTAATTTCTTTCAGCTTTTTAGTTATGGGCCAATAATGAACTTTTTTTTTAATGTTAGTATTTTACCATTAAATGGTCAAAAAGAAGATTCGGTAGAGGCTATAGGTGAGGTGAAAAAATGGGTGATGGGTGGGGAGAGGTGTAAAAATCGCACACTAATTTTCATTGTTTAGATGTCTACACATAGCAGGAAAATGGCTATCGTGATAAGTGTAATTTATCATAAAAATAACTATCAATAAAAAATATTTGTAAAATTTTTAATGTCCCTCATCTCATTACTGTCACATATTACACTCAATTTTCTCAGTAAAAAAAAACTGCAAATAATGGCTTCCCCCACTTTATATTTTCTATTTATAGCTAGTAGAATGTGTTCTGATTTCTTAAAATTTGGCTGGAGTGTTCCACTTAAAAATCAGTATTGGCGTAAAAGTTGAACACCAATTGTAATAGGAAATAGGTATATAGTTTTAAAATGTTTGAAGCAACAATGGCTCCTATTGTAATTAAAGAGTATGTAATAAAACTTCATTTGTATTTAATAAGCTAATGTTCAGCTCTCCATCTTGTGTATTTCATTGGGGGAATATAATTTTATTTTATTTTTTGTATTTTAGACCGGCGTCGAATTAGAATTAGTTGAATGTCAACCACTATTGGAATGGCTCGCGAATAACTACAAGAATTTCGGTGCTACTTTAGAAATTATCACGGACAAATCGCAAGAAGGATCACAGTTTGTACGAGGGTTCGGTGGCATTGGAGGTCAGTATCAATGTGACATTTTTGTTAATGATTTCTATTTATTCTGCAACTAAAGTCAAATCTTTCTCGCTAGCATTTTTCTTTTCTTGTTGATTTAATGATTGTAGGTGGTATTTTTGTCTCGCTTTCTTTACTTTGGTTTCCTGTATGCATTAGCGATAATTTTTTATTGAGTTTTTAATGACTTATAATAGTAAAATGGCTTGAAATACACAAATAGACGTTACAATCCAAAATTCTGAAATAGAACTGGAAAGAATTGAAAAAATCATATAAATTCAATAGTAAATTTAAGCAGAATCAGAATTATTGTTTACCAATGACAAGAATGCTTGATGCAGTGCGAATTGTGTTTACTGTGCCTATTATCGAATCATAGGTTCCTAATCATCAACACGACATTGATGTAAAATTCTTAAATATAGAGTCGATTAATTTTTAATCAGTTACGTAATTCTATTCTTGACACCCACAAAAATGAATCTGAAAATATAAAAATTGCCTGATATAAAGATTTTAAAGACAGATATGTATGTAATAATTAAACAAAGAAAAAATCGGCTCATAATGTATTATAGATTTGTTATTACAAAGATAAATATGTAATTTGGTTTCAGCTAATAGTGCTAATAAATTTAAAAAGATTGCTTTGTCACAGCCACATGTTATCAGAGCATTAAAAATTGTATTCCCTTAAATGTGAAAAATTACATAAAAGCTCATTTATAATAAGAAGAAAATGATAGCAATTACAATGTCTGTTGTCTGTTATCCAAAATGTTGTGGACATTAAGATTTTATTGAGAACTGTCATTGTAAAAATGTTATGAAAGTTGTGTAAATAAGCAAGAGTGGATTTATAATGGTAATATAATCATTGTAATAAATAATTATANAATGCTGTTCTTTTCTACTTTGCGCTGGTCAAACTGAAGGTCACATCGCTTCAGAAAGTAAACGAAGTATAACATAGCGAGCGCGTTCCAGTATCTGTACTCTAGTTCAAAGAGCGCCTGATACTTCCTCCTTTTGTCAGTTTCCTACTTCCTGTGTACGTATATCGCTGGTTTCGGTCCTTGATAATGCCTCACTTTTTCAAACGATATTTAATATACCTCATAAATTTCGCCTGGACTACCTCGAGTCTATCAATTTGGTGCTTATATACAGGGTGTTTCCGAATTAAGAAGGAAGCTTTGTAGGGTGTTAACTAGACTCAATAGGGGATCGCATAGTGAGTACAGCACAGTGATTAAGAGATTTAAAAAAATGTAAAAAAAACAAGTTACAATCTGAACTCGATCCTGGACTGAATTGGCAACTTGGGTTGGTACTTACCATATACAGCCAGTTTAAATAAGGAAGTTATAACAAAGGAGAACGTAAACAATACCGCTTGTCGGCAGGTTAAAATAAATATCAACAAAACTGCTACTACTAATAATGAGACACGTACCAGTACTCGACCAGTAAGGTACAAGGTTTGTAAAACCAGAGCTCAGGTTCGACAGCAGCAGCAATTTTCCATATTAAATTGAGGTTATCGAAGTATGTAAAATTAATTCACTAATACCTACATTGAATTATCAGGCATGAAGGTATAGTCAGAGACATATTAGAAGCAGAAATAGGACTTAAAAGGGGTAGAGGTAGACCTGGATTAGATTATTGTTCCCAAATAGTTAAGGATGTGAGTTGCTCTAGTTTTACGGAAATGCGAAGTTTAGTTCAGGTTAGGAAAGAGTGGACGTACGTGTCCAACCAGTCTTAGGACTGACTTATGATGATGATGACATTGAATTAACCCTCCAAAATTTCAAAGTGTCTTATTAAATTATTATACATTAGTTCGACAATTCTGCGATCTGTACTCTTAGGTATGTATCGTCGGCATTGTACTGTCAACTGTCACACCTTTTTGTAGCTTAGTGATAGAATGGTGATAGAGTACTAGAGCGTAAAACCAGGGGCGCAGGTTTGATTCCCGGCAAGGGAGCAACAGCAGCAACTATTTTTTTCTAATTGATTTGAAGTTAACTCTAGCGGGTAAAGTAAATTCAAACATTAATTCATTAATACACTTCTCGTAATGTTTACAAGCCTATCACGGTATAAATGAATTAATACAATTGGAACACATGTGTTCATTGTTGATAGTATGCAGCACTATATAAATTACACCTCAGCATCAGGAGTACTTAATGTTCCACCAAATCGAACGCTTTACTGAATTCATTATAAAGTGAACGAGTATCTCGCATCTCGGATAAATACCGCACTACAATTTTAATATATATCATAAAATTCGGGGTATTGGAATGAGCATTCATAAAACCGTATTGATAATTTGTCATCATGCCCTTGAACAAAAATTCAATGCTACTGAGGCACATCTTTTTAAAAAGCTTAGGCAGAGATGATTGGAGACACACTTGTCTATAATTGATAACATCCTTACTGTCACCAGATTTGTAAATAAGAACTACATAGGTCATTTTTCGTAGGTCAAGGAAAACATCCAAGCTCAACAGTTTATTAAAAACAAAACAAAGAGGTTCGCATAACCCAACCACACTCTGCATTCTCTTCCTTTCATTCCATGGATGATGGTATACCTTGACTATTACTTCTCTTCTTCATCATGTATTTCTAGAAGTAAGCCGGATCCGCATCAATCTTTTTTTTTGCTTTAGATGTAAAAAACTCGTAGCATATATACTTCGTTTACTTTCTGTAGCGATGTGATCTTCAGTTTGACCGGCGCAAAGTAGANTACACGGAGTATTCAAAATAGAAAAAATAATTCGATTAAATAGTAGCATTGTTAAATATGGATCCAATCAAAAAAAGTTAAAGAAAAAGTTGTTCAGAATGCCAAAATATGGGGCTAAACAAAAATTCGCAATATTCAATTTTTTTTTTCTAGTCAAATGGCCCAAAAGATTTGCAGTAAGTTTATACTGCCCAAACTATAAGCTTAATCGAAAAATATACAGAATTTACTCCCTCTACGAAATCACATGTAACATCTTAAGTTAATTTACTATACAGTGTTCAAAAATTGAAAAAAGGTTTCCTTTAATTGGTAGCACAGTTAAATATGAGTCCAATTGAAAAAGAGTAGGTATAAAAAAATTTGTTTTGATTGTCAAAATATGGGACTGTACAAAAATCGCGGCGATATTGCATAGCCCCGTATATATTTTGGCTTCCGAACAATTATTTTTGATTGGACTCATATTTAAAAGTACTGCCATTTAAAGGAAACCATTTTCCTATTTTTTAACATTCTGTATACTAAATTAAATTAAGATGTTAGATGCATTGTCATATTAAAATATTGAAAAATTTTTCGATTCAGTTTAGTTTAGCCACAATGAGCATATTGCCTGCTTTTTTGGGCCACCTTGTACATGGATGACAAAAAAACTTTTATTTGTTTTGCATTAATTGCTTCCACTGTTTAAATTATTAGCAAGTACAAAATTATTATTCATTACGCGATTCTTAATAAATTCCTGAATATATTGGGTACTTAGAAATTAAATCCAAAGTTTATCTTTAGATACATATTTATTTATAAACGTTAACGAGACATGATGTTATGAACATTTTACAAAAGAATGATTATTTTTAATTCCCTAATCGTTTATTATACGTAAATAAATGTGGGTAGAATTAAAGATTGCATGAAAGTAGGAAACTGGAATTGTCAAAGTATGTATTGTTACAAAGACGTTATTTTACAGGTTTGTTACGGTACAAGGTGGACTTTCAGAGTATGCAGCTGGAGGAGTATGAAAACGGAGAAGAATTTGATTTGGATAGTTATTGAACATTATATCAAAAGTGATTACTTAATATAACAAGCACAAGAAGACGACTTAACGCGATTGGAGTAGGCGGTGTCCGATTACTAAATTGGACTCCGCCCTTCTATGACCACTTGCTCATGTGGACTCGTAACCGCAACACTTGGAGAGCCCATCCTTAAAAAAATACCGTGAAGAACATTTAGATTAATTTAAAAATATTATAATTCTGCAATAGTGTTTTTATATTTAATTATAACGGCCTATGATTATGAAATCAACTTCATCGTATGTATATAGGAAACCACGGATTATTACAATTGTATTGCTTTTTTGTATGTGCACGTCTCTAAAACAATAGTTAGTGGAGCTCCTTCATCCATGGCGTATTCGTGTATACTTAAAGGTAGATGGTCTATTGCATGAAGCCATACAAATTTAAAATGAATGAAATGTTAAGAATAATTAACTAATTGTTAATTATTTTGCATGATACGTTTTAATAATTTGTAAAATTCCGAAGTATTATTATTTTTGCTTTAAAAGTATGTATATATATATATATATATATACGTTATACCTCTATCTATTTATATTATAAAAATGGCTGTTAAGCGGATATTACTTTTTAAACGAATGCGACTTAAACTGTAGAGGCGAAGTCGGAAACGCCTGAGCGGTAACTGTTATCTATGATAAGTGACTGTGAAATTCCTGTACGTTATATAGGTACCTGCAAAATATTTATTTAGAAAGAAAATTGTTTAAGACACCTTACCCCTGCTTTTTCATCTGAATTTTTAATAAATAGACCTTTAACTAAAAATAGTACTACAGGAGTTTAACCGTTAACGGCAACTGCCGAAACGAACTGTTAACTGTGAAGTCTAATCTAAAAATTTTTATTTTCAATAAAACTGCTGAATACACCTTCACCCCAATTATTTCATGTTTAGGTTTTCATAATTAGGTCATTTTAAGTCATTTTCAATAAGAAAGTTACATTTTTGAAAAAGCCGTGATACGCAAGTTTTACCAAAAATGTTTGTAAATGCTTATTTGTCAAAAAAAAAATTCATCATAAGGTCATCAGTCCTAAGACTGGTTGGACACGTACCTCCACTCTTTCCTATCCTGAGCTAAACTTCGCATTTCCCTAAAACTAGAACAGCCCACATCCTTAACTATTTGCGAACAGTAATCTAATCTAG